ACCAGAACTGGACACAGTACCTCAATAGTAAATAATGCTGTTACCAATTTGAGAAAATACAAAAGTTACTTTGCACTTGTAACCTTCTTTAGTGTCATAATCATCTCTGAGCGTCACATGTTGTCTGCCACTCCTTCCTTTTCACACTCTTAAACAGTGCCACTTTGTCTCAGACGAACAACCAGCCATGTAGACAAACAACCAGCCACATAGACCGGATTGCAGAAGACCCCACATAGTGCCCACGTAGCTCCAAGATGATTAATGAATGCTGTGGCTTGACTTACAGTGGTGGTCCTGCTCTGTCAGGGTAGAGTCCTTCTGTTTCTCTTTCCAATGCTTCCAGCTGTGAGGCTGGTGATGCCAATGGCTCTGCCTCTCCAATGGCATCTGCATGCCTGTGTATAGGATCTGGTGGTGTGCAAAAAAGTGGCATTTTACTTCACTCGTGATATGGTGGAGATGGTTAATGCAGAAGGCACAGTTAAATCAGTGCATCCATCCCAGGAGGAAACACCAACTTCTCTTAATTTCATTTTCACTGGATCCCTGAATGCTACCGACCATTTCCAAGCCCATGTTACTCAAGCTTTGCAACAACAGAGCAACAGCAAGTGCTTCTAACAAGCGTCCTGAAATTATGGAACCTCTTCTCAAGTTTAAGCTTTGGCTGGATAACTCAGACTTCCTCATGAAGCAGCAGCAGAAAGTAATTATTTTTTAAATCTTTTTATGGCACAATGCAACAAGAAAAGTTGCATATCAGTCCCATGATAATGAACTCAAGAACAAAAAAAGAAAATCACAGCCCCCCATCAGCAGCCATCACATCACTCTTCTGACCTCTCCAAGCCAGGAGCAGCCTCTGTGAGAAATCAAGCCATGAATTATCCAGCCCCATGGCTAACACACCAGAGCCTCTGTGGGGGCTTTTTTCTTTGGTTTAGAAGCTGTAATATTAAAAAATTGTGAAAGTAACTGTGCTTATTCACACAGTAGCACAGCGCAGTTTGCTGCACATGCTGTGATGCTAAGCTAGGGATCTTGTGGGGATTTTGTGCAATGAACAAATGAACTGGGGCCGTGACCCTTCTAACAGGATCTCAGCAGAGACTTGCCTTCCAACTCTTCCTTCTCATAGTGAATATTGTCAGCATTGCTCGTTCTTCCCTGATAAGTCACTGCCTCTTCAGTGTGCCTCTGTACAGCAGTGAGAAGGTAAAACCTGGTGCTGGGTGTGTACAGCTCCCCTGTGTCCTCGCAGCCATCATCCACCTCTACCTCCAGGCAAGTCCATAAGCATCACACCTCTATGTGCCTCCTCCTCCAGGCACGGTTCTAGAAACATGGACATGCCATAGTAGTTTTTCTCATACACAAAAAAAAAAAAGCCCATAACATCATATAACATATGCAGTGGGAATCTGGAAGTGTTTACTACAAGGGAAGAGGCTGAAAGTTTCAGACCAAAAATAAACCTCCTCTTTTGTTCCTGCACTAAGGGGAAAAAAAAAATACCAAACACAAAAAACTAACCAAATGAAAAACCACACCAAAAAAAAAAGAAAACACAGCAAAAAAACAAACCTAAAAGCAGTGCTTTTGGCCACAGCAAGTTTCAGTGACACATGCAGGACTCACTAGATTGCACTTGACCACAGGATATGGCCATCAAAAACAAAGGCCCTCAAGAACCTGCAAGGGGGAAGCTGCTTCTTCAGCCCAACAGAGCGCAGGCTTCCCTTGGTGAAAGCACACTTTTCATGGAAAACTTAATTTTTCTCTGCAGAAACCAAAGGCTGAGAGCTAATGCCCACTTTGCGAGAAATACCACTGCCAGCGCTGCATGAAGAACATTGGTGCCTTAAAAGCTAAAGGAGAACTACAGGAGCAAACTGAAGTAAGTATTTTTGCTTCTCTTATCCCTTAGTAACCAAGGATGGGGAAAGGGATTACCAGTGTTACTAAGTTTGAAAAATAAAAAACCAACCACATCTTACATTCAAGTCCAACATCAGCTTGAAGAAGGGCAGTCTAGAGCATAAGGCAAGGTAGGGAGGGATGGAAAGGCTAGGGTGCAGGCTGTAGTGAGCCATAACCATGTCCTTCTGGGACAATGCC